CTCCTGATCCAAAGATCTCTTTTCCAGAGTCCACTGGTGACTAAAAGTGGCTGTGGTGCCTCAGGGCTGGAAATCGCGTCAGGGTAGCAAGGGACAAAGGCCTCTGGTAAAACATTCTGGCATGTTTAGAAAGAGAATTGGAGTGTTTCAGCAGCTGAAGTCTGTATATTTGGGAGAATGATTTCTTTAATCTTCTGTATGCTACCTTTTATACATTTATTAACTAATTATAATTATATAATCCACTGTTAGCAGATGGTTGTGCTGATGTTAGAAATAGCTCTCCAGAGCACCTGTTCGATGCAGTAAGTACACTTCTTCAATGTGTATCACACACATCAGATTTCTGTTATCTTTTCAGAAATGCCGTGTGGAAGTGTTCCAAAAGTTGCCAATGCTCAGTTTGAAGGCAGAAAGAGAGAATCTTATGAGCCTGGTGAAACAGTTCGCTACCAGTGTGGTCCAGGGTTCCAGATTGTTGGTTCCCCTGAAATTTTCTGCAGGAAGGGAAATTGGACATCACCTTCCAGTTCACCCTTCTGTAGAGGTATGGGTTCTACTTCTAAGTAATCCATGATCCTTCTTAGCATTTCATGTTGTGAATTAAGATAATTTTTACTTGGTCATGCAGGTGAGTCAGGCCAATAGAGCCAACAGGTGACTTGCTTTGAATGGGCTGCTACCACACCTATTTTTCTGGCTTCTGGAAAACGACAAGCAGGGTAGATCAACAAAGCAATAATCTCCCCATGGGCTGGAGCTGGTAGCTGAATCCTGGCTCTCTTGAAGTCAAGCAGGCAGATATTAGGGAGGAGTCCAGCATCCTGGCTGCAAAGGAGCAGATAGCTCTGGGGCAATGGGTCTTATTTTCACATCACTAGCATGTCAGTTGCTGACAAGCACCTTCAAATAGTAAATAAATTGTGTTACTTTCCAAACTAGTGGCACACGATGCTGTGCAGCACAGCTGGCTGATCTCTGTGACCTCTCTTTTTAGTTTTTATAGGCAAACACTACTGGGTGCTGAAGCATTGCAGAATAAACCATATAATATATCAGAATAAACCTTCTTTTTCTACCTTTAGAAAATGGTGTGCATTCCTCAAAGTGCTTTTTGCCCACCAGGAGCTCTGGAATGTAGTAATGTGTGAGTTTTGTGTTGCCCACCAGGAGCTCTGGAATGCCAGAGTGCTGTGGGTTTTGTGTCTCTCACTGCAATCCCTCTCTCTGCAGATGTCAGCTGTGGAGCTGCGCCGGAGATCCCCGACGCGCGCATGGCAGACGCTCCTCAGGAGAGGTACCTGCCCGGCGCCAGGGTGCACTATCAGTGTGAAAGGAACTTCCAGATGATGGGTGCAAATTACATCCTTTGCTCAAATGGTCAATGGTCAGAAGCCCCAGTTTGCAGAGGTAGGAATCTGTGCTTTCACCTTGCCTATTAGCGTAGAGGCAACCAGTTCTCTACTGAAATACTCTGAAGACTTTGCCTTTTTTACTTGTTTTCTTTGGCTACCCCAGCTTTGAACTTGCTATTGCTTCCTTGCACAGAAATTTAATTAAACTTGATGCTTCTACAGATATTGAATATTTTCAATAGCAAAAAATGTTCCTGAAGCAGCAGGGCCTAAGATGTGCTGCTCTGTCATTCTCCTGTATGCTGTTGGTATTTCCCCAGTGGCTGTCACTTCAGTGACTTTCAGTGGACACACACCTAAGGGCTTCTCTCTTGTGTTTGAAGCTGAATGGAAGCAGCAGTAGGACAGAGAAGCAGCTCTTCTTCTGCAGTCCTCCACTCTGGCCAATGCAAAACCTAGCAGAGCCCCAGATCTAAACCATGTGAGATCTGCTAGGGCCATGGAAGTGGAAAGATTGTTCCTGTGACAAGGAACACTCAGGAATGCTCCAGAGTCCCCCATTTCAATCTGTGGCTGCAGGGTGAGCACAGCTCCGTGGAGCTGGCTGAGCTTACCCAGCCCTGAGCAGCCCAGGCTGACAAGCTCCTGCAGCATGGCCAGCCCTCTACTGGAGAGCTCTGCACTCCAGCAGGGAATCTGTTTGGCTGCTACCCCTGTGGTTTCCAGGAAGGCCAGGGCTCCCCAGGGAATGACAAGGCTGGTGTGGTTTTTGTATATAAGTACAGAAACACTGTCTTTCTCTAGAAACTCTCATTGACCCTGACATCTCCTGAGAGTCCCAAACAGTGTTCTGCTGCCACTGCCACACCTCATTGCTTCCCCCATGGTGAACTCCTCTGACCCACCTGAGGCAGAAAATCTGTACAGAAATTGTAACAAGGCTAATTCCTTTCACTTGTGGTTATATAGATGAACATCTTAATAACTGGAAAGGTGACTGCAGCCGTGGTTTTTTTCAGATGTGAGATGTGATCCTCCTCGACAAATTGCTGGTGGTAGCATTGATGGTATTAGAAAGTCAAAGTATATGCCTGGAGAGAGTGCAAATTATCAGTGCTGGAAAAATTTTAAGATGACTGGGCCTTCTACTGTAGTGTGCAAAAATGGGACCTGGACAGAGCTGCCAACATGCAAAGGTAACTTCTCTCTGTCTCTCCATTCAGCCTCCTGTCAGTGACAGCATCATGAAGCTGCCTCATTGTCATTTAGCATCTCAGTGCCCTCACGGTGCACAGCTGCCATGGCTCTGGCACACTCAGAACAAGACAGGCCATTCCCCAGGTCTCTGTTCAGATGGGGTGAATTTACCAAGCTGAGGTACCCAGGTGGCTTCACTCAAGTGGGCCAAGTGCCACACCTTATGCAGGACAGCTGCAAGCACTTAAACTGTGCTCAGAGGGGATGAGCTGGCAGTTGTGAGCCTGAACTTTGGAGAAATGAGAAACTCTTGCTCCTGCCAGCTGTTTGGTTCTCTGCTTTACTCCACTTCTCTAAGTAGTGCCAAGATAGTGTGGGTGGTATTTCTGACCAGACCTTCTCTGCAGCTGAACTTCCTCTCTGATTGGGAAATTTCTTTCAGGACAAGCTGGGAGATGTGGCACACCTCCAGTTATTCAAAGTGGAGAGCTTCTTCACTTCCCCTTGCTAGAATATCAAGAAGGTGATACTGTGGAGTACAAATGCCCAGATTTCTATATCCTGGAAGGATCTCCTACAATCACCTGTCGCAATGGGCAGTGGACAGACCCCCCAATTTGCCGGGGTAGGTTGAAGCATGTGCTGGGGGGCCAAAGGCTGTGTGACTGCTCCTCTTGTCTTCTTCTGAGACCCTGAGGGCGGCACTGGTGCTGGGACTGAAATGCTGGCAGGGCAAATTGGCAGCGCATCCTCCTTTTGTCTCAAAGGAGTTGCTGCTAAAATTCAGCTTGTGGGCCAGGAGGATGGGTCTGAATGAGTGTCAGTGCTGGGGAAAACCAGGAGTGCCTCTGTGATGAGAAAACAAATTTAGAGAAGTACAGAGCAGAAGGGAAGGAGGGATCTCTCAAAAATATATATGGGGAAGTTCATTGGTGTTTGGTGTCTTCCCCACCTGTGCTTCATTCTTCCCCTGCGTGACTGGCAGTGTGACAAGGCTTCTCCCAAGGCTTTTTTTTCCCCTTTAGCTTGGGTGTGAATGTCTTTTCTGTTGCAAGTAACAGAGGGTCAGAGCACACTTGGAAGCGTCTTTGATGTGAAGGACTTCTGTAGGCTCTAGGAGCAAAGCATGTGGTGTGTCTGTATGAAGTACTGACAATTCTTTTCTTGACTTTTTCAAGTGGCCTGTACAGCATCAAAGGAAGATATGGACAGAAACAATATTGAGCTGAAATGGGGTGGCCTAGCCAAGCTGTACTCCACGTCGGGTGACTTTATCCAGTTCCGCTGTAAACCAGGATATTTGAAACATCCAAGTAGTCCCAACTTCAGAGTCCAGTGTGTGGAGGGAACACTGAACTACCCATTGTGCACACTGGGAAGTAAGTAATCCCCTCTTTGCCTTTGCTGCTCTGTTGTTGCATTTTTAGTGCTGAAGGGAAGCAGAAAGCCCTTGGCTTTCCTGGCTGTGAGCCAGGGTGTGGGAGCTGCAGGAATAGAGGGGCAGTGTCCTCAGGATGTCATTGCCCAGCACACCTGAGCTGGGGAAAGGGCACCTGGGGCACTCACAGGGGGTCCCAACAGAGCATCAGTTGTCCAGTGTGAGATTGACAGGCAAATAACAGAATTATTTTTCCGCAGGGAACTGTTTTCTGGATAGGGACACTATGGAAGCAAACAACATTCAGTTGCAGTCACCCAGGCAGTCAAGCCCTCACTATGGCTCAGGGGACCCTGTTGTGTTTGAGTGCAAGCCCTACTTCCGGCCGGCTTCCCAGAGGCAGAGTTTCAGCACCCAGTGCCTGGATGGAGTGATTCCATATCCTCAGTGTCAGTGTAAGTGCTTGCTGCCAAAGACACGGGGCACAGGCTGTAGGAGGCAGTTCTGCTGACATTTCCTGTTCACTGCTCTGAGGAGCCCCTGGAGTCTGTCAGGATTGGTATTGATGCCTTTTCCCCTTTTTTTCTCTTTACACAGAATTGTTGTTGTTTGGGTAAAAGGAAATGACATGAGAGAGCCCAGCTGCAGCAATGACAGAGACCTCAACCAATCTCCTGACTTGAGCTCAACTTTTCCTGGTGTTTCCCATTTTGCTGTGCTTTGTTTGCAGCTTAGCCAATTCTGTCTTGGAATTTGTTCTTGGTTTTATTACTGGATGGTTGTCTTTGCATATTATCCACATTAGATCTAGTTTTGTAAACGTATTTACATTTTATGCAGAAAAGGGTTGTGCTTACATTTTATCCATTCTTTCCTGATCTCACTGTTATTTTATTAATAATTGTGGCCTGAAAACAGGCTGGCTTTGGTGGCATACTGAGACAAGAATTAAAGATGACAGTTAATTTGATTATCAGCACACAAAGCATATTTAGCCTTGTCTGTTCCTACTTTCTTCTCTATGCACTTGCTTGGAAATGAGTCTGGGCTGAGTGTCCTGAGTGCCTGAGCAGAAAGAGCAAGTAATGGAGTCTCCTTTGAACAGCTTGAGGCAGTCTCTAGCCAGAACCAGTTTTTCTGGGAGATTTGCCTGCAAAGGCAAGATGTTGGGGAGCAAGTGATTGGGATTTCTAGGGGAAGGTGTAGACAAATTCCTGCTCCAGCTCCTGGACAGGCCAGTCTGTGCCACCCCCAGCCCATCTGCCCTTCACAAACAAGGAGAAAGTGGCTTGTGGAAATCAGTGGCAGCCTGGCTGTGGCAGCCATGTGCTAATGCACTCCTTGATTCAGAAGAAAGAAAAAAGCAAGTACCAGTGTACAAATCCCACACCTTAGGGGAGCAGACTTCCACTTATTTAGGAAAATAGGAGTCCAGAAAAGCTTATAGGTCTTGAAGCACAGAATCCTGCAAGCACAAGATTATTCAGTTCTCATCTTCAGGAGGAAAAACACATCTACCTAGACCAACTTATCTCATCAGAGACTGCACAGAGGTCTCTGAAGCAGAAAAAAAAACAATGTACAGGGGATTGAGGCAAAAACAGGCTCCAAGGTGAGCTATCCATGGCATTGATGTGGCATGTATGGATGTTAGAAATGCTGAAGCTCAGAGTGGCACTTACAAGGGACATTAAGGGTCAGAAGAAGGGATTCTGTTGCTACACGAGGATTAAAACAATCAATAAGAAAATGTGGCATGTCACTAAAGCAGGTAGGTGGGGCAGCAGCCCCACATGAAGCTTGAGATTTGATTTGTTCTTTGCCTCCAAGTTCATCAACAAGATGCTGCCTTCATGTCTGCAATGCCCCTCATTCTGCCCTGTGGTTACAGCCACACAGGGCAGGATGTGTGTGTACATCCAGAGCAAGTGATGGGGGTGAATGAATTCTACTTCCAACAGCTGTTCCAGCAAGGGCCTTTTAATCCCTTTTGCTCCAGTTTGCTCTGTAAGAGGAAGAGTATTGCTGTTATAGCACTAAAGTGCATTAAAGTATTTTTATCAACCTTTTTTCCACCTATTGGTTGGCTGGGTTTTGACTAAATAAGCAGAATTTGTCTATTCCTGAATGCTTTCATTTCTTTTCTATCTTATTCATTCATGTAACTCTTGCAAAAGCTTTGGAAACCATACAGAGCACCATACATGCTATGATTTCACAGACAGATGAGTTTAGACATGAAAGACAGAAGACACCCTTAGAGTGGCTTTTTTATTAAACCAGACTAAAATGGATGCAAGGCAAACTTTGTCCACATTCCTGGATTTTCTTCATAGTTGTAGTCACACTTGTTCTCAGGAAGACCCTTATGAGTATCAATATTTAAGTATATAGGAAATCATACCAGGTACTTGCATTTTAATATTCTTAAAATAGTTTAAAAAAAAGAAAAAAACAACTTTTCAGTCAATTTGTATACTTCTTGGTTTTAAGTAGTTTTACAGATCCCTTAAAAGGTTTTAATGTTTGCTCTTTTATATTGTTCTTCAAGGTCAGTCCTTTAGAGGCTCCTTACCTGTGAAGGGAGAATGAGTGCTGTTAAGGTGTACAAGTCCTTCCTCCAGCTTTTTCAATGTGTATGCCAATATTGCATCCCTGTGCTGCACTGCTCATCCTCATCCCACAAAGGCCTTTCCCTTCCATCTCCCTGCAGCTCAGACTCAACACTCAATTCCCAAAGCTGAGTGGAGCAGCCTGGAGAACACGAGGCCACCCTAATTCCCCTGCTAATAAGAGATAAAGAACACATACATACCTTTCCTATGGCCTTTCCTCAAGTCCGTACTTGCTTTTCTCTTTCAACACACCTTGGATATGCCAGCTGTCCTCTCTCACACTGTACTTGAAATAAAGTTGTGCCAGATTCTGCTCCAAAATGGTTCTCTTTGCAGTAAAATCCAACATAATCCCCATGGTAAAAGTAAACTTGGTCTGCATAGAATGCTTGCAGCAGCACATTATTTTTCTCCATTTCAGTTTTTGACAAAGTACATGGTTCTAAAAAAGAGAGACTTGATCACTGCTAATAAAATGATTCTTTTTCACTGCTAATAAATTGATTCTCTTTGGAACAGACTATTTTGACCAGGCTACACTAAAACTGCTAACTAGCTACACTAAAACTGCTAACTATTTCCTATTGTCTTATTATACTGCAGGCACATCATAGTTAAGGAAACAAAAAAAACTCCACCAGATGAGCTTAACTTGCTTCTTTGTAAACTTTCATATGTCATTTGAAGACACTGAAATTGAGACTTAAAAGTTCTAGCTGACAAGACTCATAAATTATAAGGATCTGATTTTAGAGACAGTTGGGGTTTTCAGCCTGGCAAAAAGAAGGATGTGGGAACACCTCATTGCACCTTTCCAGAGCCTAAAAGGGTTTATAAGAAAGAAGAAGACAGAGTTTTTAGTAGGGCCTGGAGCAATAGGACAAGGGGTTGTGGTTTTAAACTATGAGAGGGTAGATTCAGCCTAGTCATAAGGAAGTCATTACCACCAATGAGAAGGGGAAAACACTGGAACAATTTTCCCTTTTTTCCCTTCTCCCAGAAAGGCAGTGGTTGCCCATTTCCTGGGCAAGGCCAAGGTCAGGCTGGGGAGGGCTCTGAGCAGCCCTGCTCACTGCAGGGGATTGATTGGACCAGAGGGCCCTTCCAGGTCACTCCCAGGCTGTTCCTCGAGGCTTTGAATTCTATATAGAAATAAGTGCTTCTTTATCTTGTTCATCACACCTACCTATACAAACTGGCGGTGAGGTCCATTGTCCTTCAGAACAGTAGATTCTCTCAGAGCCTTGCAAAAAATGATACTCAGAGCAAATATACTGAACTGAAGAGCCACTGTCATACTGGGGCAGTGCTGGGACAGTCAGAGCTCCATTTGCAATAGAGGGTGGAGAGCCACATTTTTCTGTAGCAGCTGCAACAACAATAAAAACATTTAAGAATAAGAAACTAAAAAATTGACTGCTTTATCATAAATTAAATGAACATGAAGGTTTTCTTTTTACAGCTCTCTTTCTACAGAGCTTTCAGTTTCCTGGGCTCAGAGCAGAGCTTCCCCCTCCCTTCTACAGCCTTGCACAGCAAAGGGAGGTGTATCACTTTTCCAAGCTTGGCTATATTCAACAATAGAGTTATCTTCTGCATCTGTATTGTTGAAGCCTAAATACTGATTGTTGAAGCTTAAACACTGATTATTTACAGCAGGCTCCAGGCCCACACTAAAAGTAAAGCAAATAATTTCTAAATAGGTCTAAGATGGAGTAATTAAAAATGCAATAAAAAAATTATTGCTTTACCTTGAATAGCACATTTTGGATAATTCAGTCTGCCTTGGTCACACTGTGTCCTCCCAGGAGATGGAATGGCAGTCTGGAGAAAACTAAATCCCTGTTTACATTCAAACTCTATGAGATCTCCATGGAGGAAAACTAATTCTTCCCGTCTCCATTTCAGTGTTAAGTTGTTGCTGTCCATATCAGTTACATTCAGAGTACATGGTTCTAGGAAATAAAAATGTATTTTAATAAGGAGCCACCTTAACTGGTTTCTTAGCTCCCTTTTGTAGGAGTGAAGAAAGAGAACCCCATGTCAGTCAATAATTCTAAAATGCTTCTGAATTTTGCAAGACAAAGAACTACAGATGCATTAAAAAAGTGCAAATGGAAAGAAATTGTCTGAAGTGACAGCAAAAACCAAATACATGCAAAAGGAATGGCTGCTTTCTGCAAAATTCTTAAAACCCAGTGCCAGGATCACATCAGGGAGTGTAGCTTTCCATTAGATGATTAACCTCATTAACTACTGAAACCACTGTTCACCATCAATAAAGCCTACAAAAATAGATTTCTACAAGTTCTATGAGAATCACTGGGTGATAAAGGCCCTTACTGATGTTTTGCTAAGGGAAAGGCAAGGAGAACTCAGTTATTGCCAGTCTGGTGACAGTGGGGTAACACCAAATTCACATGGAATTTTCCTGAAGCTCAGTGTAACACCAAATTCCCCTGGAATTTTCCTGAAGTTAACATCAGCATGGTGTTTGTTTGTTTAGGTGAGTGTATAAAAGAAATCTCAGAGAACACGCAAAGGATGATGGATTATTGAGATGTTAATGAGATAAACAACACTCACAGGAAGTGAGATTTCATTATTTCACAGGATTGGTAAATTTGAGTACTCAGATCCAAAAATGCTGACCTGGACCTTTCAGTCTAGATGAGGTAACTTCTGTTCATTTAGAAATATGCAATTAAAACTGAACTGATTGTGTATTTTTATTTTCACAGTAGATTACAAACTGAAAGGTGGGCCAATTTAACACAGGATGTTAGTAAAATTTAATTATTTTATTAGAGGAAGGAAGGAAAGATAAACAAACAACTCTTGTTTGTATTCCTGCTAGCACTGGTAATTTTCTACTGGGAGTTCTATACATTGTTTTGAGCAGCATACATAAAAGCAGCACAGAAAAATTTGGAAGTCCATACCAGCATGAAACAACAGATATAGACATGTAAATAAAAAAAAAAGCCTGAAAGTTTAAAAACAAAAGTCCAACGAGCCATTGCTAATTCTTTGTTAATTGTATCTAAAAGCCATTTTGGGAATGGCTACACCATTCCTTCTAATCATCTACTGAAAGACAGGAAGAAATTATCTGAATGGACAATATGGAGGAAAGAAATTGGAGAATCCTCCCAGGAAACAGGAATAGCTAGATACTAGAATAGCCCACTCAGGAAACAGAGGAATCTATTTAATTGGCTGGTTTTAAGAACAGGCCAGAGGATACCCAGCTGGAGAGGACTGCTAAAAATTTAATTGTGGTTCATCCTCCCAATTCTGGAATCTTTATTAACTCCAACGAAAGAGAAAAGATGGTGATGAAAAGATTATTTAGAGGTTCCTGCCGATTTTCCCTTTTTATATTACATATGTAATTTGTTATTTTCTTTCCAAGACTCACCTAAGCAGGTTGGTTGCTCTGTCCAGTTTCCTTGGTGACAATAAACAGTACTGGGCCCATCCAAAATGTGGTAATACTGACAAACATATTCTACCCAGGAACCATTTTTGTAACTTGCCAGTACTGGGCCCAGGACAGCACCATTTTTAACCACAGGTGGAGAGGCACAGTCTTGCTGCATTTCTGATATGGGACAGAGAGAGAGGCAATTAAATCTAGATTAGATTACAACATTGCTAACACTGGTGAAAGTATTAGACCAATACTAGGCTGAGCAAGAAAATTTGCAAACAAAGAATCCAAACCAATACAATTCCTTTTCCAGGTTTCAGTTTTGGAAACTCTACCCTTGCCTTTCTGAATTTTAGACATGCATTTTATTTCCCTCCACACTTTACATCTATGCCTACTTTTGACTCTTGCTAGTTTACACTCAATACAGATTAATTATTTTTATGTGATGTAGACCATCTTATTTGTTACTTTATATGTTTCATCTATGTGTGGTTCAAAAAAACCCTCATTATAAATATTAACCAAAGGAACAACAAAATACTCATGAAGCTGCATGTCCAAATAATACTAAAGGGTATAAAATGACTGAAAGTAAAGGCTCTGTATGAAATAAAATTACAAATACAGAGCAGGCTTATTGGTGTAATTTAGAAAAAAGCAACAATAGCCTTTTATTTATTGGCTACATTGACATCTGTAGCCCAAGCATTTTCAACAATAAGGAACTGTCCTATAGCAAAAGAATAAAAGTAGTCATAAAATGCCTATAATTGGATTGGAGAGTCCCTTTTAAATAGAAGAACAATGTTCACCTACTCATATCTTCATTGTGATGTGATTGGTTTGCCCTTGTTTCTGCGTCTGCCTCGAGTGGTGGTGGTGCTGTCCCAGATTCCTGGTTATCCACAGCTCCTGTAACCACAGCAGAGACTCAGAACCAGTTTGCACAGAAATAGCTCAAACAAACAAACATTCTGCACTCCAAAATGTAATAATCCCAGTTTTCCAGGGAAGGTGTTACAGGTGGCAGATGAATTCACCTAGCTCATCCTTTTTTATCTGGGGACCACAGATTGCCTGTAAAATATGCAGCACTTTGTGTCTCAAGACTTTTAAGAGAGGAAGGATAACAGTTTTGCAGACAGAGAAACTGAAACTCTCTAGAAAATTAAGGCACGGGTTGAAGAATCATTTCAGTTCAGTTGTCAGCCTGCACAGAAGTAACTCACCAATACAGATAGAGGGTGATGTCCATTTTCCTCCTTCACACTGGATTTCCTCAGATCCTTTCCTTCCCAAGGTGCACTGTACATTAACCTTGTCTCCATTATGATATGTTCTGGCTGTGCTGAAATGGCCACGAGGGAGTGGTGGTGGAGGACATTTATTTTTTATATCTGAAAACAAAAAATTGCATATTGTTTTCTGTCTTACCAAAACCATGTACACAATTAAGCTCACCATACACAAAGCAAGCCTATCACTCAAAAGGCTTTTTTTGGCTAAGCCAGAGTAATTTCTTAATCAAATTTTCTTAATTTTCTTCATACAATGGGAGACCCAAACAAACAAGTGATTTTGCATTCCACAAATATAAAATAAAAGTACTATGTCATTGTACTGCTATAAACAAATTTGTAATTTCTCCACAGGGACTTAATAAAATGTCCTTTGTAGGACTCCAGGAAATAGAGATCTCCCATACCCTCCATTCATATACTATTTAAAGCAGATTATGTATTAATTCTAATGCTACAGAAGAAGCAATAAGCATAGCCCATTTCCTATCTCCAAATTAAGTTTGTGATTACTGTATCCTCAAAAGTAGATTTAGGCCTTGTTTTCGTCCTCCTGAGCATCTCCAACTTCTCTGCACTCACTCAAGGAAAGTTCCTGCTGTGTCATGAGAATAAACACCAGGCTGGAGTCTAAGCTGTAGTAAAGGTTGTTTTGTGCTGCTTCCTGCTCTGCTCTCTATCTCAACGGCTTCACCTTCCATTCTTTTGGAACTTTCTTTACTGAGACTCTCCATTATTCCCCCGTGACTGGGGAAGTGATAGCAACTGCTAAAGGTGTGTTTCTGTCCTCAGGACAACCTTTTATTTTATCTGTTCAGAACAAGTAAAGTTTGGGGAGGCTGTACAACTCTTAAAAGTACCACAAGCTAAGGAGAACCTTGCTACAAATTTTATTTTTAATGCCTCTCAAGAGGTACATCCTCATCCCACAGGGCAGGATTAAGCAGGCCTGGTTAACCCTTCATGTATTCTGAACAGTTTATTGAGCTTCAGGTTCTAAAAAATTTCCTATAACTGTTGATTCCTGCATCTGTGGGATACAACTCAGACAGACAACAGTAAGAGACAGTATCTGTCCTGCTGCTAGAGTTCACTGAAATGTAGTTCCAATTACCATTGCCTCCCTTCCTGCTGTCCTGGCTCCCTGCTCGTTGACTAACACTTGATTTACATTTAGGCTACAAATTGTATTTTTATTTTGTATTCATAAAGCATTTCTCGAAAGGTGTGAGCTTTTCTCTAAGAATTTGACACAGTAAAACTATAAAAGCAAGGTACCTTCACACACTGGAGGGTCTGGATACCACCCAAAATTATAGCACTGAATTAAATCAAATCCAGTGACAGAATAATGTTTGTCACAGAAAAAGTGAACTACATCTCCTTCTTCATAGCTTTTCTTCACAGGATAGAAACCTCCATGAGCTACTTCGCTCAAAGCGGAGCAAGTTATCCCTGGGAAGAAAACACAGCAGTGAAACCCCGGCAGGCTCCCTCCAGCGGGTGATTTGTGTGTCAGTGGAGGAGTTTGCGGGGCTGCGGACGTACTGGTGCAGCGTGGGGGCAGATCCCATCCGTGGGGCAGGCACAGGGCCGCCGCGGCGGCGCTCCCGGTGGCGGAGCGGAATCCCGGCTGGCAGCGGTACCGCAGCGTCCCGTTCTGCCGCACCTCCCGCGCCGTGCCTGCATAGCTGCCGTGCTCCAGCCGCGGCACCTGGCACCGCCCTCGGGGAGACAGAGCACAGGCATGAGCACGGCATGCTCTTCTTGCAGGAGTGTTCCAAAGCTTCCCTTAGATACACCTCAAAAGTGGCCAGAGCCCAGGCAAAATAATGAATAACTACAAATGCAGCTGTTGGCACGAGTGTTCTGTTGGCCCGTCACAGCTGGCTCGGACTCTCTGTCTGAGACACAAACTTTTGTTATCATTCGATTCCTGTTCTACTCTTAGCTAGCCTTCTGATGAAATCCTTTCTTCTATTCTTTTAGTATAGTTTTAATATAATATATATCATAAAATAAGAAATCAAGCCTTCTGAAACAGAGTCAACATCCTCGTCTCTTTCCCTCATCTTGAGACCCTGCGAACACCACCACAATCTATCATTTTACATCTATAATTTTACAGCTATCATTTTACATGTAATCTTTACAAAATCAGCAGCATGTGAAACCTGACAAGCTTTTTCCCAGAGGTACAGCTGAGAACCTGCTTTAGGAGCACTCAAATGACAGCCCATCATAGGCAGTTTGGCCCTACAGCAAAGACAGTGGAATTCCAGACTTCTGCAAGAGATTAGCAAGGAGAGAAGTGCACAACACTACCAAGTGTTTTAGTACAGCTTGGCTGGGAGGACCATCCTTGTGGCTGACACTGCACTGTATCTTCAGCAGCACCACTCAGGGTGAGGTAGCCTGGATTACATTTGTATTGCAGTTTCTCATGGATTTTGAAGTCCATTTCTGTGCTGTAAAAAGAGCCATTTTCCAAAAGAGGCTTGGTGCATTTTCCTGAAGGAAAGAAGACAGCTTGGTTAGAAAGAAAGAATGGAATATATTTTTTTCCTGCAAGCAAAAGAAGGGGTTTGTAGCACTACTGATCTAATCTGAGTGTCTCAATTTATTGAAGAAACTCTGCTCCAGTCTTCAAACTATGCATCAAACCACCACGTGGTAACCACATGGAATACAGCCAAGGGATCTAGAGCTAGGGAGACTCAAGAAGTTATACATCTAAGGGAAAACTAAGTTTTCCCAGACTAAGAAAACTGAAAAACTTTATGTTCTTATATAAAATATAAATGGGTAAGTTCCCTTAAAATATGTATTGTTGTAGAAATATTCCATATATAAACCTAGGTAGTGTTCACATAAATAATTCATTTCACCTTGGACATTTTATCCCTTCTGCTCTGCAGCTTCTTTTCCTCCATGCCCCAGGAAAACCAGCCAGGAAATGCCCCTGCTGGAAGCAATGATGAATAAAGCTAACTCACTGTAGCATCGAGGCACTGGAGACCATCCTTTTGCTGTACAAGTTATTCTTCCATCTTGAGTCCCACTTTCAGTTGTGTAACCAACCACACAAGAATAGGAGAGCTTTTTTCCTTTATCCATAGGGAAATAGTAACTTTTGAAACTGTAATAGTACTGGGGAAGGTTTCCATTTTCTATCTGTGGCAAATCACAAGGTATATCTGTAAAAAGATCAATATATTTCCCACTAAAAAATTCCAGCCCAGATATGAATGGTTTTGCATTAATTTATCTAATATGAGCTTGACTGATTCAGGCTTTCAAACAAGAAAATTCTGAATACTTACAAACATGAAGGGCCTTTTGAGACCTGCTGAAACGAAGACATACTACAATTTTATCAGCTTTTGCTCTTGGGGTTTCACAAGAATATCAGCTGTAGAATAAAGCCTCCTAATGTGAACTGTGGCAAACTGATGCAGGACACCTTAATTTTACCCTATTTTGCCCAGAAGCATGAGAACCCTTTGCTGCACAAACTTGCCAATGCCTACTGTAAAATTCAGTGACAAGTGTCAGGATTAGCAGTGCCTCAACTCCCTAATTCAGAAAATGCTACCAGAAAAGTAGGATAAGCTGCTAGGAGACAATATAGGAGTTAGGCTTGCTTAAGAAAGGGAATTTAAGAACAGTCAACAGAAAAGAAACAAGAAATGGAGATAAAAGAAATAACAAGCAGAATGGCAATTAAAAAAAAAAAACAAAATAACAATCCCCAGTAAAAGGGGAAAACATTTTTAACGAGTCGTGCTGAATATGACATTAGGTTACTTAAAGAAACCTCAAAATAACAAAACCAAAACAAACAAAAAATCCAAAAACAACAACCAAAAGAAGAAATCAGTGCTGAAAAGAGGGATAGAAAAATGCAGGACCACCCCACATTAATTTCTGCAGGTTCCATTTAACCTCCACTATTTTGTAACAAAGTGAAAAATACTTCAATCCCCAAGACACTTCAAGACTTGAAATGTTTTAATAGTACAAAATTTCAAATAGTACATATTGTAATAGTAAAACATTGCTAAAGAAATTTCTTCTGAACTAAAGGCTGAACATTTCAATATGACAGCTTTGAGGCTTAGACAGGAATCAGCCATGTCACAACAGAATTGTATTTAAATTCTAAAAACAGTTTACTCAGTAAAGAGATGAAAGACATTGCACTTAAATTACCAAGACTGCATATTCTAGATTCAAAGTACAATAGAATTCAATGTATTTACCTTCTGCAAAGAGTCTCCTTGAGCACACCATAACTAGGAAGATAAAATAGCTTTTAAATCTCATCTTCTTTACTGTCTCCATTTACAGTTTCCACCAGCTGTGAAAACTCCCTAAGTATTACTTTTGTAAATAATTAACTGAATTTTCAAAGGTATTCAACAAATGCCTTAATGTCTATGGTATTTTGTAACAAGTTAATTCACTGGAAAACCTATTTTCATTTGTATTAGTTCTCCAAATAACTTGATACCAGTTGGCAGGATTCTACTTCCATTTGACACACTTTGCCACCTGTAATTTATCATTTTACAGTGAAATCAGGCAAAGGGCTTATGGAACAATTTAAGCTTGCTGATTACTGTTCCCCTCACAACCTCCAGAGTCCCAAGTTTAAAGGGCATTCTGTTATCAGATTATTTACCTTGGCTGAAATCAGAGGAAATAGACAATTCCCCCATCCTCCAGCCTAGCCCGAGTAAACCAGGCAGTTGCATTCTATAGATATTTATAATTTTGGAGTTTCTCACATGAACAACATAGCCACTATTATTATCTTAGTTATGTTGAATACAGCAAGCCTCTTCCAAGTATTTTTTTAAACAAAACATAAAAATGAATCTAATTTAGTCACCTCACTGACTAATAGCAATCAGTTAATTTAACATCATTGGAGCTATAAGCCTTAAATTTGGGAATAGGAGGGTATAATTTTACATTTTGCATTATCTTGGCCTTTCTCTGAGAAAATTCTGCAATTCTGAGAATGCAGAAGGGAACAGAATGAACAGGGATGCTGTGATGAACACAATCTCTTCAGCCAGAGGAGATGCATGCTTGTGTGTATTGCTCACTTGATAGGAAACTCACAGATCACCTCCCTTGAAATGCCAGGTCAGAATTTGTAAATTCACCCTTACAACATATTTTGTTGTTCCATCACTATCTTGCAATGTTTACAAAACAGAGAAATTATATTTTCTTTTCTTGCTGCCATACATGATCCCTCAAGACAATACTAAAGTAGACTCAAGCTCCCCAAAAACCAGCCAGTTTTGAAATCCACAGCCCAAGCCTCCCTTTCTACACCTCTCTAGATCAGACATTACTGTTCCCCACAATCAACTGCTTTTAATAGAATTCTACAATATCTAATCAGAGTGAAGAATCCCATGCTATTTTAATAGTCACAGTTGTGGGACAATAATATATTACTGCACCAGTGAGATTTCCAGTAAAATCCAGTTAAATTATTTTATTGTACAATTGGTTTTGATAGTAGTACAAAATACGGTTTCAAAACTGTATGCAATACAAGAAGTTACCAAAATGTTAATCTTAAAAAACATTTCCAATGGTAATTTAACATTATTTGCTTTTTAAAAAAAATCATTTATCCATTTACTACATACATATTGTACAAATATATCTTCTTATACATCATTTACATTTCAGTAGTAGGCAATACCAAGTGTGTCCATCACCATCACAATTGCTTGCAGAGGATCCACGACCTCTTGCATGTTATCTTTCCTCAAGACCCAGTCTGGTTTAATCCTATGAAAAGATCAGTGGCTTGCATTAAAATATTTCAGTGTCACAGCAGAAAGAGAAGACCAATTTTTAAGCACTTACCTTGAAACTGTTTTTATTCTTAGAGGAGTTACTGGAACAAAGGAGCTCCCAGCTAAGGCAGGGTTTGTTTTGTGCTTCACAAGTGTTCTCTCTGCATCCATCCTGTGTTTCCGAGCCGTGAGCTTATAGAGGCTCTGGATGCAAGGAACAGTTCTTGGCATGCCACGGATTTCCTGAGGAAAGAAAGGGGAAAACAGCACACAGTCAATACTGCAAGTTCAAAAGCAGCCTAAATCAAGAAAATATGAGTGTGTTCACCTTCTTGGAAATGCTTTTTTTTAAACCAGAGTTTAGTTGAAATTAATACTCCAGCCATAACAAGTACGAGAGAGAAAAAAAAAATTACAAACACCACCAAAACATGCAAGAAAAGTATGTTAAATGAAACCACTAAACCCAAAACATTTAGGTCTTACCAAAGCTCTTTTAGAGTCCTTTGAAAGGATGGCTAGCAAACAACAGGTCTTTGTGAAAATGCTTCCTCCTTTCTCTGAAACTTTGTCCCCAGCTTTGCCTCTGTACATTTGCAGTAGGTCAAGCAAAGTATCTACAGAATTTTCAGCTTCATAAACTGCTCGAGTAGTTCTTTCATACTGTTAAATGAGAAAAAGACAAGAGAGCTTCTATATACAGATCTTTAAAGCATCCTTAGTTTACAGGTTATTAATTAGAGGTTAGAGGAAAAAGCAAAGCTCATATTCTCATATATAGAATAAACTCGTAGATGAACTGGTATCCAAGCAATACAAATCACTTCTGTATTTACACAATTGTAACAGATTATAAAACGGTGCCTTTTGTGCTTCCTCCCTTGTTTAGAAACCCATAGAATCTGATTCTATATTTATAATAAATAAATAAATTAGAAGAATTTCAGACAAATTTAAAAAATTGTGATACCTTGCAATGCCTTGAGGCCATGAAATCATTTTTTCACCAAAAGCCTTAATATAACTATTACAAAGTAAATAACTGGTTTCAAAACAACAGTGAAAATTCAGAACCTATTTTTATTCAAAAGAACTACTCTTGTTGCTCCAGATTTATTGAGAAATTTTGTGGATAAACAAGTACTACAATAAAGCAGCTAACTGCTTATAAACCTGCAAAAGAAAATATTCAAGTTACCTTTGAAACATTGAGCAGAACCTGAACTGAGTATCTGATCACATCCATGCATGGAACACTCCGGTTGCAGCTTCGAATCAGAAGGAAAACACTGAAGATTGCTCTGCTCTGGGCCATATTTTCACAACACAGTGGGGACAGCCTGGTAGCCACCTCTAAAACAATTAAAGAAAAACAAATAGAGAAAAGAAAATTCTGAACTTCGAGCAAAATAATTACAAACTAGGATTTTCTCTATTTTTAACTAAAAGTGCAAAGTAAAAACTGCAATTATTGATTTAAGTAAGTGTTTTTAAAGCAAGTTTTAATACTCTAGACTAAACATTAAGAAGACAAAATGATCCACAGAGAACATATACTGATAATAAAAATGATAATAAATTTATGTTAGGTATAGCACTACTAGGACTGACAGAAAATTTCAGAGCAATCATACAGTAGTTCCTTTTTCTACATAACCATTTAAATATTATTCTTAAATCAATAATCTAATTTTAGTCTGGAAAACCTTCCATTATACCCTCTGACATTCACATTTTATAATCATGCAGAAAGCCTAAATATCATTATGAACTCTCCTCAGCTGAAAAAAAATCCAGTTTTTATCCTTCTGAAAATCCATGAGTTATAATAAAACAAAATACTGACCAAGATGCTTTAGTGCTGCAAGAATGTAGGAGAGATGTTTGTATTTTAGAAGGTGATCAATTGCAATTGCAGTTCTGTTGCCCAGCTTATTTTCTTCTCTGCTCTTTTCATTGGCCTTTATTAAACTGCACCTTAAAGACCTGGTTTTTGCTGTGTCAGTCATCTTTCTCCAAGAATATCCCCTCCACAATGCCTACAGAAAAGGAATTCCATAAAGAGAAAAAGTGGTAAAGGAGAGACAAGACAACTGAACTTTCATCACCATTCCAAATCAGTTTTACACAAGTCTGACAAAGTATTGAATGACCTTGGCTATTCAGTTTTAAGTCATTAACACTCAAGTGTTTATTTGTTTATCTTTTGTTACCGTTAGGTTGGACGTGACATGCACATGTGATCAGGGTCTAAGAAGAAAAAAGTTTTTTAATCTGCGTGTTCTTTACCTTATGTACTCTTAACAAAGTGTGATCTCAAGTTATTAACTACATCAAAATAACTTATTATATTCATTGGTGCAAAGCAATAATGTCAATATAATTGGTAAAAGTTTTACAGAAATTTAACAAGACATGTATACACATCTACTTATGCACATAGTCTAGCTTTCAAAAATTTTCACGTATCTTTTCTAATCTGTTTCTATGCTGATGGCTTTGTCTTCTTTTTTGCTATGGATACACTTGAAAATCATAAATTCTTATTTTTTCTATTAACTCTTGCAGGCCAGCTGTCAAGCCCCTTTATACTTTTTATCTTCAAATACTGGACTTTCAAGACAAAAGGCAAAAAAATCCACGCACATTCAGTCCACAAACTGAGTCATCTCAAACATTATCTGCTTAGTATTAATTCATGATCTGTTTGCCTTCAGCCTTCATGGCTAAATCACAGCTGACGTGGCTTGCAATTTCACTGATAAAGTCATTGGAAAGAGGAAAGATATTTGCTTTGGTCAAAAACCCATGAGGAAAAAAAACAGCTGATAAAAATAACCAACCCCAAAGCTGTTATTTCCTCACAAGAGACGCTCACCTGAAATTTCACTATCCCCACGGCCAGCCTCCTCCTGCGGCGGCGGGCGAGGAAGGCGCGGGCGCTCCTCTGGATGACGGCGGCGGCGCGGTGCCTGCGGCTCAGCCAGGCTCGCACGGCGCGCTGCAGCCGCACCAGCCTGCCGCGGTCCCGCACGAACCGCCGGCGCTGCGCCCGCGCCCGGAACCAGCTCTGCGCCAAATGGAAACACCCTTCTGGTTACTCACAACTCTTCCCCCAGGCTCCCTTTTCACACCCTAATGAGCGCTGATAAAAAGTGAGTGTTTTAACATGAGCTTTGACACATACAGGCACTATAAACATCATCAGTCACAAATAACCTCCATGGCTCTGATTGGCCTTGGGTAGCTGAAATGCAAGACTGCAAAATGCAAGACTGCAGAATGAAATCTTAACTGCGAGCCACTAGTTCACAGAATTCAGAGGTTGACCAGGTTGGAAGAGACCTTCAAGATCATTGAGTCCAACCCATGCCCCAACACCTCAACTAGACCATGGCACTGAGTGCCACATCCAGTCTTGTTTTAAACATATCCAGAGATGGTGCCTCCACCACCTCCCCAGGCAGCCATTCCAGAACTTTATCACCCTTTCTGTAAAAAACCTTTTCCTAATATCCAA